AAAGTGCTGGGATTACAGGCGTGAGCCACCGCGCCCGGCCGAGATGAATAAGTTTTGATTCCTGCCCTGTAGCTAATGAATTTAGATTAAAATATTACAGATGAAAAAAAAAGTGACTATATGGTTTTTTATATTAAAAAAACGATTATTTTTTAATCTTCTTATTCTTCACATTGCTTGACTTTAAAATAGGGCAAGTTATGGTCCATCTCATAGTTTTGTTAAGACTAATTTCTTCATGTGCTTAGAAAAATGACTGGCAGATAGGAAATGGTCAATAGTATTATTATTGATAAAACTGACCATTTTGGAATTTAGAAAACCATAATTAATGCCTATGAAATAACAACTCTATAAGCTATTCCCTTAAATCTAATAGACTGAATTCTCATAAGTCCTCAGCACTCATCATTTCTACATCCCGATAACTTACAAATACTTCTTCATACCATGGTTTATATCTTAGCTTCATATCATAGAGGATGGATTCCATAGTAGAGCCAAACTCAATGATACTGCGAATCTCATTTTGGTACTCATAAGCAAAGCCAGCAGCATGCATGGCCACCAATGAACCTTTTGAATCAAACACTGGGGAGCCAGAAGCCCCAAAGAAAAACTCAGTGTCATAGGTAATCACATAAGGGTTGGGAACTATTTTCTGGAAACTTCTTTGAGTGTACATATGAACATACTCTGGACTTTCTACTTCTTTAGCCTGAATACGTTCCTGACATTTCTCTGCTTGCTTATCCTGAGGAATCACAACACAAGCATCAGTTTGCCTTTTTTCTCCATATGGATGGCCAATAATATGTATCAACCCACTAAGTGGCACAGGAGCAATTCCATTGTATAGTTCCATAGGTACCTGTTGTCCATTTTCCTTCAGCTTCAGGACAACATAGTCAAGCTCTTCATTATATATCTCATACCAAGCTTCGATGGAAAAGCAGTTCATTTCCTTTTCTTGTGGCTCTTCATAATGAAATGTCACCCTTACACATTGACCAATTACGTCTGCCCACTTACTTGGCTCTAT